TATCTTTTTTATCCCAGGAATATATTTCACCTCAGTTCTATATTCCATGTAATTTATGATTATTTCAGAAAGTATAAGACAGTGGAATTTGTTTATCAATCTTGTCACATAGTGCATCCCAAACGTCAATGACCCTCACCTTGCCTATGGCCTAGACTGGACAAGTGACAGTTGGGGATTTTCTGGGATTGTGTGAGGTTACTGACAAATAGTGGAGGAAATCAATTCAGATCTCATCACCGCACTGCGTATGTTTGTCATGTCAGAGTTGAGCCAATTTCTTGGATTGTTTGAGATCCAAACAAACGAACAATTGTTCCACTTACTGAACTAGGTCACTGGTATATGAAGGATGACTACCATGGTTACGAAATTAATGATGACACAATAGCTGGGAAGGGGGTGGGTACAACCCTGTGTTGGTATGCCCACGGGAATTTGGCATGTTATCAAAACTGACATTGCGTCGTTACTAGGGTGAAGTGCAGATTGACATTGCTATCAAACCCATAATGTCCAACGAAATCTGCATGAGGTGTCGCATGAGATATTTTTATTTGTCTGTCCTTGTCTTCCATTGGAGGACGTCCTTGGGATCCAAATCCGCTTAAAATTATTATCATGGAGGTAATCATCCATCGTTTAACATCAGTTTGCAAAAGTGATAGAAATGTCTTAGAAGTAAGAAGGGAAGATGTTAGACAGACATGACTGAGAGTGTGATGTATTTCCTGCTAAATGCTGTCACTTTGATGTCCCAGTCTACAGGGAGCATTCCCCAGGGCTGAACGTGCCTGTGTGGTTGTGTGAGGGGAGATGGGTTATACATGAGGTGATGTGGAGGTGGTGGGCTGAATGTGACTGTGTGGTTGTGTGAGGGGAGATTGGTTATACATGAGGTGGTGTGGAGGTGGAGGGCTGAATGTGACTGAGCGGTTGTGTGAGAGGGTGGTCTGAACGGGCCTGTGTGGTTGTGTGAGAGGAGGTGAGAGGGTGGTCTGAACGCGCCTGTGTGGTTGTGTGAGAGGAGGTGAGGGGGTGGTCTGAACGTGCCTGTGTGGTTGTGTGAGGGGGAGGTGAGGGGGTGGTCTGAACGCGCCTGTGTGGTTGTGTGAGAGGGGGTGAGAGGGTGGTCTGAACGCGCCTGTGTGGTTGTGTGAGGGGGAGGTGAGGTGAGGGGGTGGTCTGAACGTGCCTGTGTGGTTGTGTGAGAGGAGGTGAGGGGGTGGTCTGAACGCACCTGTGTGGTTGTGTGTGAGGGGGTGGTCTGAATGCGCCTGTGTGGTTGTGTGAGGGGGTGGTCTGAACGCACCTGTGTGGTTGTGTGAGAGGAGGTGAGGGGGTGGTCTGAACGCGCCTGTGTGGTTGTGTGTGAGGGGGTGGTCTGAACGCGCCTGTGTTGTTGTGTGAGGGGGAGGTGAGGGGGTGGTCTGAACGTGCCTGTGTGGTTGTGTGAGGGGGAGGAGAGGGGGTGGTCTGAACGTGCCTGTGTGGTTGTGTGAGGGGGTGGTCTGAACGTGCCTGTGTGGGAGGAGGTGAGGCGGTGGTCTGAACGCGCCTGTGTGGTTGTGTGAGGGGGAGGTGAGGGGGTGGTCTGAACGTGCCTGTGTGGGAGGAGGTGAGGGGGAGGTGAGGCGGTGGTCTAAACGCGCCTGTGTGGTTGTGTGAGGGGGAGGTGAGGGGGTGGTCTGAACGTGCCTGTGTGGGAGGAGGTGAGGGGGAGGTGAGGCGGTGGTCTGAACGCGCCTGTGTGGTTGTGTGAGGGGGAGGTGAGGGGGTGTTCTGAACGTGCCTGTGTGGGAGGAGGTGAGGGGGTGGTCTGAACGTGCCTGTGTGGGAGGAGGTGAGGCGGTGGTCTGAACGCGCCTGTGTGGTTGTGTGAGGGGGAGGTGAGGGGGTGGTCTGAACGTGCCTGTGTGGTTGTGTGAGGGGGAGGTGAGGGGGTGGTCTGAACGTGCCTGTGTGGTTGTGTGAGGGGGTGGTCTGAACGTGCCTGTGTGGTTGTGTGAGGGGGAGGTGAGGCGGTGGTCTGAACGTGCCTGTGTGGTTGTGTGAGGGGGAGGTGAGGCGGTGGTCTGAACGCGCCTGTGTGGTTGTGTGAGGGGGAGGTGAGGCGGTGGTCTGAACGTGACTGTGTGGTTGTGTGAGGGGGAGGTGAGGCAGTGGTCTGAACGCGCCTGTGTGGTTGTGTGAGGGGGAGGTGAGGCGGTGGTCTGAACGCGCCTGTGTGGTTGTGTGAGGGGGAGGTGAGGCGGTGGTCTGAACGCGCCTGTGTGGTTGTGTGAGGGGGAGGTGAGGCGGTGGTCTGAACGTGACTGTGTGGTTGTGTGAGGGGGAGGTGAGGGGGTGGTCTGAACGTGCCTGTGTGGTTGTGTGAGGGGGAGGTGAGGAGGTGGTCTGAACGTGCCTGTATGGTTGTGTGAGGGGAGATGGGCAAGACATGAAGTGGTGTGGTGGTGTGGTAATGATGGGCTGAATGTACCTGTGTGGTGGTGCGAGGGGAGAGAAGGTGTGGCCTAGGTGTGAGGTTGTGTGGCTGAATGCTGTGTTGTTGTTTTATGTGAGGTGAGGTGGTGGGCAAGACGCGATGGTGTGTGGGTTGAATTTCATATTCAATGTCCCCATAACACTAATGTGTTAAAACATGGGTTGTAATGACCTTTGGGCAAGAATTTCCTATACTGGTAAAAGGTGATTGCATCAGTTGGTGGTGATGCAACAGACTGCAAGATGTGTCCCAGGTGGTTATTACTGGGTCCTTATTGCACGTCAGTGGGTGTTGTTGTCCAGTAAGCATTAGCCTGCAAGATATGTCCCAGGTAGTAAATAGATGGGTTCTTTGCTGAATATTGTGACAGTCATCAGTGAGTGAACTGTGCAGTGATAACAATTTTCCTAAGCAATTATTGACTTAGAAATACCTTACAAAGCCAACTTGAGGACACAAGTATGTGTTTAGAGGGTTTGACATGACAACTTGTCAAGTGAAAATCTGTAAGGACTAGTATGTTCTCCCCAAATATGGTAATGTTATTACAACATTTCTACAATTAATTGTGGTTTAGTTAAATGTAACTTGTAGTATCAACCACAGGTTTACTGTAAAAAATAAAGCCTTAAGTATGTGTAATTCTTGATAAATTTTGAATGTACTAGCTTTCATACACATGTCAGGGTTTCGAAACTCCTGGTACTAAAGTGGCGATGACACCTTGTGCCGATTTTAAAGTAAATTGGACAAACATACAGAATAGGATAAAATATTAACACACTTAATAAACCTATTTCTTCTTTTCCTTGAAAAGTATCCATCTGGTTGGCAAACTTAAATTTCCATGGGCACACCCTAGCATCCCTATCAGTGCCCTGCAGCACGTGAGATAAAACTATTTCTGTCTCTGTATGCTGTTTGATGAAAGAAAGTATGTGAGTTATGTTGGTTGGTCAGACTTAATTGAGATTCAGTTGTTGGCTACATGAGACTGATGTTCACCAGCTCATCATTCAGTATAGCTGAACCATGTGTCACCAAGTCAACCTACACTTCAGCAATAATGTAGTGTATTCAGCCTGTGTTTTCAGAACATGTTCTAGAACTATCTCGGATACTAGTTGTTACAGTGTTAAAGTATCTTCCCCTGGAGTCAATGTAAGCTCCTGTTTAATGACATATCAAGGACCGATGGAGAAATTTCTGATGGGGAATGCGGGACTCTATCAATCAGCTTTCCCAGGATATGAACTGAATATCATCATTGTAAGAAGATTTGTCATAATAAACACTCATATTAATGTCAAGCAGACATTCATCTAAAAATCGTTTATCACAGAATCACTGGCCTGTGGCAGTCTTGAAACAATCATGATATTGTCATGTTTTTGTGATATATATCCATGCCGTCTCAGTGTTAGAAATCAAATGAGTTTCTTGAAGTTTTCAGCTACTAGGAACACTATGATCTTGGGATACCCTAAATCTTTCGTTCCGAACATTTGTGTTATTAGCCTTGACCCTTCTTTTAAACATGCTTCTGCTATATTTGTCTTGTGTGGTTCTCAGCCCCCATTTCCGTCTATTACAACCTAGCTGCTGTGTGGGATACCTGACACTCGGCCGGACCTGGTAACTGGATAAGGACTATTGTGTATAGCCACTGTTATCTACATTGCAGGGCTATAACTCAGTAACTCACTGCTTAGTTTATCAACAGGTCCTTTGTGGTGCTGCAAGATTGTCCCATGATAGAATATCAAAAGGAACATAATCATTAATCCTAATTTAGGTAGTAATGTGTTGTGCCAGTAACAACTAGCTGTACTGTGTTGTGTCGTAACACCACGTTATGAGGTCTTTAGAGGCGCACTAACATGCTTCAGTGACTTCATGGCGCATGTGATTTCTCAATCTTGTTATAGCAGGCAGACCATGTAATGCACATATTATGCACAACCAGATGAGTTTATGAAATATGTGAATGCAGAAATAATGTTGCTGTTCTTGTTTGCTATTATGCATAATATATATAAATAAAAAAACTTTTCATTTTTTAAGATGAAAAAAAATATGTCTGTCTATTATTCAAAGAATTACCGAAAGGCTTTTTCATTAAGAAATTTCTGATAGGCTTTTCATTAAGAAATTACTGATAGACTTTTGCATTAAGAAATTACTTATAGGCTTTTTTATTAAGTAATTACTAATAGACTTTTTTATTAAGAAATTACTAATAGACTTTTTTTATTAAGAAATTACTGATAGACTTTTTTATTAAGAAATTTCTTATAGACTTGTTTATTAAGAAATTACTGATAGACTTTTTCATACAAAAATATGTATTTGATTACTTCTTATGTTTACTTCCCTGTAGTAAGCGTGGCGAATGTCTCCTGATTGTTAACCTGATATGAGTGTGTCTTATCTTAGATAACCAGCTTTACGAAAGCAATGTAAATAAGTTAAAGTTGTTTGTACACATTACTTCAAGCCTGTTGATACTTACTCTTCCAACTCCTCTGGTTTTGTGGTATCCTTTTCCGGGGAGGGTGATTTTGACTTCTGTTTTTCTTCTTTCTCAGCCTTAATAGCATCTGCATCTTCTGCCTCCGATGTGGTGCGCTTCTTACGGCAGCAACACTGAAATATGGCTGCCATTACACACATACCAAAGAAAGCTGCTACAGTGGTAGAGACTACAACCACCATCTTAGGTACACTAGACAGTATGTCCCTCTTCCGGACGTCCTGGGACAAAGCTTCGGAATGCCCTATTTCATATTCCTCATCTTGATATATCGAATTCTCAGCTCTTAAAACCCTCCGGCTATTTTCGAACTTATGTTCTCTGTAGTCAGTGGGAGTGAAGTCCCAATCAGACTGTTGTCTATCTTTGGATTTAACTTCCCTGTCGTGGACCTGTTGGAAAGTTTGTTGATTATGGGCAGCCTGCCTGTGTTGTGACTCATGATCCTGTACTATAGGAAGCCTCTGCTCTTCATGGTCGCTGCTCCTTATCCTGTGGAGTCTCCTCGCACCTTGTGTCTGTCCGTCTGCCTCTACATCTTGCTTCAGAGTGAAGGCAACAGCTAGGGAGAAATAACTAGCTGCCAGGAGCAAGCATAGGTGTATAGGTATCCGGGTCATTTTATCTAGCAGACGTAACTTTACAGGAAGTGGTGATGATTGCCACTACATGATCGGCAGGTTTGAACACTCGCCAATTTTCACTATTCCTGAAGTAGGAACACTCACTTGAGCGCGAAGCAAATAATGAAGTTGTGCACTGAGTTAAGAATGTGGTCAGGTGCATATAACATGGGGTTTACTCTCCTGGCTGACGGGGAGGGCCACGGAGCAGGGTCAGATGTGTCTCACTGTATACACGCTTCATCCCCATCCTCCCCACACGGGCAGACGCTCACTGAAGTAATCTCCATGTTGTTTAATTACTGACCTGCAGGCTGCCACCCAAAGGACGTATGGTCAGATATATCACCTAGTTGGACACTAGTGTAAGCAGACGCCAAATGATTCAGGTGTGGGGTGGCATTTGTTCATACTACACTTGTGATTTCCGGGGTCACTTTGTAAATAATGTAAACCAAGATATTCCCTTGCAGTCACGCTGGTTTGTTGGAGAGTATGGACGGAGAGTAGGATAATGCTGACGTTGCCTGGATTAATCACTCAGCTGTAATGCACAAAACTGAATCCCATCCCTGTGAGAAATATGCAGGTAAATTGTTCACAAGAGCTTCAGGATCAGTCCACTGGAGAGGAAGAATTTCTGTTAATTCGTTGTAGAAGATGAAAATGAGATATAAGTTGTCCGTCTGCTCCCTTGTTTTGAAGGTTCAACAGAGAGAAGCAGTGTCTAGACGCGTGTTTGTTGATGCAGACAGCAGATCAATTAAACAATGCAACAAATACACACACCTCCCAGCTCCTAATTCCTTGGTAATGAGAATGAATCTTGCCTGAAGTCGTAGTTTGCAACTTAAAGGAAACCACTGTTCCTAGCTTAAGCTTGTGACAGGAGTTGAGTCCAAGTGACAGAATTTTTAAAATTGAATTATTTTCATGTGAAGAGAAGTTGTGTATTGACCATTGTTCAGTTTAAGACTTAAACAAATAGTATTTAAATCACAACACACTTTTCTCAAATTGTTTCTCTAAAAAGTGTGAATTGTTTCCTTGTCAAATCACTCCTCCCTATTCTGGCTAATCACTTCTTGTCCGTTATGTAACCTTCCTCTTGAGATGCAGTTCTCGGCCATTAGTGGGCAGCATTTTGATTGTAACTAGTCTTGTCATCTCCGGCTGTGCTGTCAACACTGTCTCATGTCTTCTGCCTGTCAACAAAATACATCACATTAGGAATATGATCCAGACCTACAGGATGTGAACACTCTCATAAAATCTATATATGGTAATTATTGTTATCTGTTCAGTGCAAGAGGATGTAGTCATGATAGGTATGTGACGCAAGCACCAGTTATGTCACGTACATCCTACTTCATGTCTATTTCCTGTAATGGATGAATAATTTGACGAAAAAATGGCATAATGCTGACATTAAAATCAAGAAATTCCTGTCAATGAACAGGCAAACACTTTCATGCTGGCCGGCCTTGTGTCAAGTCGTACCCTAGTTACACAGCTCAGTGATGTGGGCAATAGGAAACAGCCATGGGTGGCCCAGTCGTCTAAGGCGCCCCGATTCACTGTGCAAAGTTGCGTCCGTTGAGCAATCCAGAAACCTATGATTGTGGGTTCGAATCCTGGTTCGCCCCGATTGTGTTTCTAGGTTTGTCAGCACCATACCCGTGCTCGTGTGTTTAACCAAAGTGGTAAATGTCTGAGACCTGCATCACTTTGGGCTTTCCTCCCACATTAAGCTGACACGCCGTGATATAACTGGAATACTGTTAAAAGCGTTGTTAAACCCAATTCACTCACTCACTCACTGCAGTAGGACAGATTCCAGGGGCAGTTCTCCAGTGCTGAATCTCACATATCAGGAAGTGCAGTGAATGGGGCAATATAACACTGAGGAGAGCATGAGGAGTGGCACGCTCCCACAGATCTGTACACCAACCTGACATCTTTATACAACTCGGCAGTGATAGTGCACAGGCTACTGATGGGATCAGTATGGTCATAGCAGATGTTCCGCTGTAACATAACACTGACGACTTTTGGCATGACAGTAGTTACTAGGGGCTCTCCCTTATGTTTAACAAGGAATTGTTTTTCCTGGGGAATTGAATTTATATTGTCCTAAGGCTTAATATAGGAAGGAGACACAGGATATATTTCTGCTCTTGATGTGTCCTTTTGGTTTCATTTTCGAGTGAAATTCAGAAATTAGAATCCAAGATTACGTAAATTTTGATATTTATTCTTGTTAATGATTTTATCAAATTTTATCAGGCAGTTACCATATTGAATTATGTTTGGGCTAAGATGCTGTAATTTAAGCTTTATGTCACTGAATGACATTCGACCTAAACAGGATATGATAGTGGTGTGCTGTCAGCTGTGATGGGATCTATTGATGAGGAAATGGCCTGGCCTGCTTTCTGTGTAATGTTGGAATTCCTCCGTGATAGTTTCACCATTTCCATGGCAACTACACTCTTCAGTTTGTCCGTCCCTCATTCCATTCATGCCTTCTCGTTATCATGTCTATGTTATTACTAGCCCAGTGTGAAATAATACATCATGGGAAAGTCACCCAGAGGAAGGGACCAGAGTTTGTAATTGAGGGAGAATTAGCAGAACAACCGTTTCAATCTGTGGTGGCCTCAGTATTGACTGTTAAGATGAATAAAAAAAGAAAAAAAACTCATGTTTGCAGGAACCCCACCTCTGCAAACTGAAATGGCCTTTTGTATACCGGTATATTGCTATATGTCCGTCAGCAATACACATATCACAATACAACCCATGTGTATTAATATTTTCTAATACAGTCACAGAAGAATTGATATATAATCATATATGATATATCTTCTATCTGGACATTTGGGGGTGGTCGGGTAGCCTAGTGGTTAAAGCGTTCGCTCGTCACGCTGAAGACCCGGGTTCGATTCCCGACATGGGTACAATGTGTGAAGCCCATTTCTGATGTTCCCTGCCGTGATATTGCTGGAATATTGCTAAAAGCGTAAAACCATTCTCACTCACTCACTGGACATTTGGATGGGCTTGGTTGCTTTCTCAGCAGGACACGCTGGTTTCTGTTCATATTAACAGTCCATATCGATGATATTACACGTAGTCTCATTTATCCATACAGTTAAAACCCATGTCACAATCTGATGTCTGGATTATGGAGTAAAGCAGTACCATTGGAACAGTACAAATATACAGTACATAATTTGGGACCCAAAACATATTGCAATATGTATCAAAGTACAGCTCTCTGTTTTATGTGTGCTAATACGCCAACTCACTATCTTCTCTGTTTGGGCTTTGACCTGGAATACAAGTATTATTTTGTGTTTTTGTTGTAGGGGCATTTTATTGCCATATTAATTAATTAACTAGTTGAAAACACAGCTCTGATTCTATTGCTATGTGGGGCTGTGGGGTAGCCTAGTGGTTAAAGTGTTCGCTTGTCACGCCGAAGGCCCGGGTTTGATTCACCACATGGGTACCTTGTGTGAAACTCATTTCGGCTATATCCTGCCATGATATTGCTGGAATATTGCTAAAATCGGTGTAAATTCAAACTTATTCATCATGATTGCAGTGGTAGAGATATGATTGTATGCTGCCTACTCCCAACAATGCAGATTTCCTTCCTTTAGTTGACTTGATGACAAGGCAATACACATTGCCCACCATTTCCTGGGTGCAGTAGATGGAGTCTTTAGGGAAGTAGCACTGATTATTAGAATGGAGGATACACACATGTATGGGTTTTCTTGTCACATGACATGCTTATGTCATTGATCGAGTGACATGGCAAAATGTATATTGTTAAGAGTGAGTGGTGGCACTCTCGATGAGATGTACATGGGTTGTTGTTTGCGAGAAAAGTCAAACATTGTTATAATTAGAGGTGTTTTGCCATTGTTTGCCTTAATTTATACCAATCAACACTTTTATATGTCACAATTAGTTAAAAATGAAACATTATTTATGCGTAAGTTTTTCTCAATGAGCATTGTCCAAATACCGTAGCGTCATTGAGGCAGAGTAAAGTGGTCCTAACAAAACTCTGGTCAAATATCAATTTTATGTTTTCAGATAAATATACTGTAGTATTGCATCACTGATTAAATGATAAAGCTAGGTATATTACCATAAAGGCTATGAACATTTTCTTATTAAAACACTTTGTACAGTGCTTAGTGGTTTTGATGATGTGTATGTATTTATGTTATTTAGTAAATTAGAACATCCTATCATAGCTATCAAAACATTTAATAGTCATGGAATGTCAACCACTGATATTTTAACTCGACACCAATATTTTGACATCTGCTCATGAACAATTGCAATGCATAAATGAAGAAATCCATCAGTGAATAGTCCAGTGTTGGTCAGTAGCTTCCAACTTGGTTTGCTAATATCTGTATGTTACCTTGCATGCACTGACCCCCGTGGGGATTTTGGGTTAGAATTGGTCCCCAGCAACCTATACTGGTCGTAAGAGGCGACCAAATTGATTGGGTGGTCAGAGTCTGTGTCATTGTTTCCTGATAGAATGGATTGTTGCTTACAATATCTATCGCTGTATTGTTTGTTCCAAACTCACTCACTCACATATTGTGTGCTATTTAATGCTTCATGATGGTGGTCTGTAAATAATCAAGTTGGGACCAGACAATCCAGTGACTGATATCATGAGCATTGATCCACGCAATTGGGGTACTGTGAGATACATCAACCAAGTCAGCGAGCCTGACCACCTGAACCCGTTAGATGCATAGGTTGCTGAAGACCTATTCTAACCCACGGTTCCACTCACATATTGAGCTCTATGAGGCGTAAATGTCTGTTTCCAACCTTTGAGCATATAAAACTATAAACATGCAAGTTCTGTATGTGGAAGGCTGGAGATATCTGCCTGATCTTGCTAGATATTGTCGAGACCCACTATGATATGCACATCCTCTCAGACGAGAAGTATCCTATCTCCATGCATCTTGCCTGGATCACGCCAGGCTCAGGATTCTGGACAGACATGATAAGCATGCTTCCACTATCCATACAATCCTGGTTTATAGGGAAATGGGTGGACTAGCTAGATGTCAGATGTGTGGCCAACATTTTTAATTCGGGGTTTATCTTATAAAAATATGACAGGGAACTGTTATGGAGATTGTGGGGAAAAACAGATGTCTCGGGGGCTGTTGACATGAGGCTGATAAAGCTCTTGCAGCCAGTGATATCATTTTGATGGCTGTCATATGTGTTCTGGTGATAACTTTTAATGAGTTTTCCTTACAAGAAATTGCAAGCATGTAGGAGTGATTACAAGAATGTAGTTATTTGCCCATTCACACAACGGATATGAAATTGGGGTTACCTGCACCAGATGCAAACCATGGTTGTCAGCTTACATTGGTTGGTTGGTTGGTTTGTTGTTTTACGCCGCACTCAGCAATCTTCCAGCTATATGAAGTGGTCTGTAAATAATCGAGTCCGGACAAGTGAGTGAGTTGGGTTTCACGTCGCTTTTAACAGTATTCCAGTTATATCGCAGCGTGTCAGCTTAATGTGGGAGGAAAGCCCGAAGTGATGCAGGACTCAGACGTTTACCACTTTGGTGAAACCCACGAGCACGGGTATGATGATGACAAACCTAGAAACATAATCGGGGCGAACCGGGATTCGAACCCACAATCATAGGTTTCTGGCATGCCCAAGGGACGCAACTCTGCACAGCGAATCACGGCGCCTTAGACGACTGGGCCACCCATGCCCCCTGTCCGGACATGACAATCCAGTGATTGATATCATGAGCATCGATCCACGCAATTAGGATTGATGACATGCATCAACCAAGTCAGCGAGTCTGACCACCCAAGTCGCCTCTTACGACAAGCAAAGTCACTTACGAAATAAACCGAATTGAATTGAATTGAATTGAATTGACAAGCAAAGTCGTCTTTTACGGCAAGCATGGGTTGCTGAAGACCTAGTCTATCCCGGATCTTCACGGGTCTGTCAGCTTACGTATGATGTGCAGCCAAATTGTGTTATGTTTGTGTAGAATGGAAAACTGGAAAGTAGGAAGTGTCTCAATGTTATGGCAAACCAAATTGTCAGGATTTTTATATCCAAAGTCTCAAAACAACAAATTGTCTTAGGGTATTTTCTAAAGATAATTGAAAAT